CTGTTATTCCCAGGTTCCAGATGAGGATCTTCATGTTCAGAAGTTTTAGATATTTGACCAAAATTATAAAGCTAGAAATGATTAGGCTACGATCCATATTGGTGTAAATCTACATATTATCTCCAAAGCCAATGCTACTACTTCACACCACCTTCCTTAAGAAAGAATAAGTCTGAGAGTAGAGTGGAACATACGGATGTTAAGCAATGATGAAAATTGGGATAAATGCACACCTTTATATTGAGGCTACATAAATGACTGACATATAAATGATTCATCATCAGCCTCAGAAAACAGGCATGATCTCCTCCACTCATAGAAACTGCCATAAAAGGGCCCAAGGGACTGGAGATCTAAATACTTACTTAGCGACTGCTAGGTGCCATGCACTTTTAGGTGCTAGACATTTTACTATAAACCAAAAAGATAAAAGTTGTTAACCTTTACAGTCAAAAAGAGGAATGTACATTAAGCAAATTATTCACCAACAGTTATTCCAAAACAGTTGTGCTGAGTGTTATAAAGGAGAACACAAAGGTAATCAGAGCGCATAAAGGAGAATTAATTTACTTGGTGAGGTCTGGAGAGGCTTCCCTCAGAGAGTGACATTTAGCCTGTGGTTTCAAGAATAAATAGGAGGAAACCAGGCAAAAATGAGAGGTGAGGTGTGCAGATGGGAAGGCACGTTCCAGGCTGGAAACAGCACGTGGTGAGGGCCCTGAGTGTGCGAGCCTGGACCTTAGGGAAACTGAAGGACCAACAATGGGGATGGACGTTGTGCGCAAAGAGCAGGGGTGAGACAGAAGCCGTACGTGGGCACAGACCACGTAGGGAGGGCTTTGAAGAGGACCTCAGAGTCCCAAAGTGCGTTCTTTAGCCATCATCTCTTCTCTTTCCTTTGGCTGCCTCGCTTATTCCCAAGTGTTCAGCTATCAATTCAATTCAAACGTATACCTCCAGGTCCAACTACTTTACTCAATCTTTCATCCATCTGTTCAAGCAAACAAAAATACATTGAACACCTAATATGTTCCAGGCAGTGCTCCTGAGCTCCACACCCTCATTTCCACCCTTTGCAAGACTTCTCTGCATGGATGTTCTGAAGTTCCTAAAGCTTTGCTTGCTCAAAACCAACCTCTACATTCACAGTATACCTTGAATTGTGGTCATTTAGGTCACATGCCTTCTATTTGCTACCAGAAAGTGAGTTCCCTAGGGTGAGATTTGTGTCTGATGCACCTCCGTGTCCTCCAAAGCACAGAGCCTAAGAACCTGGTAGTTACAGGTGTTCTGCTATTGCACTTATGACATTGCCATGTAATGGCTTAACTTTCTCTCTTGTGGACTACACTGTGATCTTTTTAAGAGCGGGCAAGAATGAATAATGAGTAGTGAACAAGTGAATGAATGAATGAACACCTTGTATTTTCATCAAACACAATCTTCTACTGGTTTCACCATTTCACTGAGGTCACTATTTATTCTCACCACCACTAACCAGTCATCTCTCCAGGTGGTCACAGTCTTAGCATTACCATTATCTCCTGATTCCTGTCTTCTTTTAATATCTAATGAGCTGTCAAATCTTGTTGCTTCTACTGCAACCTTGCCCAAATCTTTTCTATTCTCCCTGCCACCACCTTGGTTCAGGCTCATTGCCTTTTGCAAAGACCGTTACGAACAATCTCTTACCTGGGCTCCTCACATCAATCCATATTACATCCGCTGCTGCCGCATAAATTTCCTTGAATCATAATCCCATCCTTTTAATCCCTCACTTAAAACCTTCAAAGACTCCCTTTAACTCTCTGAATAAATTCAGATCTCTCAGTAGGACATCAAGGCTCCATCCATGACTCCATCTGAGCTTCGATTCTAATTTCCCACTGCTATCCTACTGACACTTTATCTTCCTTCTTCCCTTCCACTCCCCAATAAAACAGGACTACATGCTTTTGATTAAATATGTCTTGTGTTTTCCATCTCTGTTACTTCTGCTTGGGGCCCTCTTCCTCATTCTACCCTTCGAGGCCCACTGTGAACGCCAGATCTTCCATGAAATAGGTCCTGAAACCCCAACAGATACAATCTCTTCCTCCTTTGATATCTGCACCACTTTGTACTGCTTTCTTGGAACCAATCTTACCTGTTTTATGTACAGTCATTTGGTACTTACCTGGTCTGATGCAATATAAGCACCTTGAAGTGAGGGTCAGTGGTTTTCTTATTTTGGGGTTTCTCTGCAGAATCTAGTACAGAGCCTTGCACATAGAGGCATTAACAAATATTTGTTGAATTGAATGTTCTCCCATTTTTACTGTAAGCTCCTTGAGGACAGTGACTTTAAGTACCCTGTGTCTCTCAATACAAGTAAGGGCTTTGCACATAATAGATGCTCAAAATATACTCGTTTAAATAATTTCATAGTTCCAGAGCAAGGTTTTTCAAAATACATGTAACATGGGCATTAGCCTAAAGTATTCATTTAGAAATCTCTCACCATTTAACATAAAGGAAAAAGGAAAGTAACACTGACTCTACCATTCTTTATTCTTTCCCTTTGTTTTATATGATATGCCTAAGTCTCATTAGGTGCTTATCATGTACCAGGCACTGCACTCAAAGTCTTGAGCTGTAAAGCGATCATGTAACCCTCACAACAGCACCATGAGGCACTGTCTTTTCCTCAATTGATGGGCAGGAGGTTTAGGGAAGTGAAGTAACTTGATCCCGCAGTGAGCAAGTGGTGGCACTGGGATTTGAACCCAGGCAGTTTCTGCCTCTAGAGCCCATGCTTGTCACCATCATGTCATACTGCCTTGGTCATGTTTGCTGATGGTCCTTAATTTCAACAGTTTTAATGGAAAAAAAAAAACTTTAAAAATACTTTGACCTACATCTTAATATCATTCTTTGAAACATAAAAACTTCTTAACTCTTGGATTATTTTAAGGATGTAAAAATAAAGAATTGTTAAATTTATTTCATCCCCCTTCCAATGTAAGCTTCACATTTAGGAGGTTCTTAGTTTTCTCAAATAACATGCATAGTCAATTCTTGATTATGCAGCCCAAAGGATGGAGTAGGTGACAAAGATAACATACGACCTGACAACTAAAATCATTTAATTTTGGAAAGCACTCTAGAAATCTCAGAATCAAAAATAACCATTTACTCCCCATTCTGCAGGCAAACCTTTACACACTTGAGAATTCCTGCTGGGAGCCTGGTCCCTGATTGGCTGGCAGAGTAATGGGGCATGGGGTTGTCACAGATAATCCGCAAGTAAGTAAGACCGGAAATCCTCTCTTTTTGAATCTCTATTCAGTCTGCATAGAAGAGCTCTCACGCTGATTCTGATTACAGTGCTGAAAAAGCACACACCAGCATCAAGGAGTTGACAGACTGCAAAACTCAGAGGATGAAACAAGTTGTACTTGCCCTACGTGTGATGAGAGCTCTTTGAGGAAAAACTCACAGGCTGTAAGATAAAAGTTGTTGCTTCCCTTAGGATTTCAGAGATACAAGCATGTGAAGTAAAGACGAACACTAGTAGGTAGGTCTTAGAAACAGCCACTGCCAGCTGGTCACCAGTGTCTCTTTAGCCTCTAATGGAAATATTATTATTAAAGATGAGATTTATAACTCAAGCCTAAATTATATCAAGCAAGGACAAACTCTGATTTTCAGTAAAATAAGGCAGAAAAATGACTACTGATGCTTCTTCAACTACTCAGGTCTTCTATTTATCTATCCAAAGTAAAAAAAAAAATTCATGTAAAAAGTCTGATAATATTAAGTTGCACCATTTAGTCACAGCTACCTTTTAATGTTAAAAGATACCATATGTATGATGAATCTCTGTGACTTAAGTGATACCTTAAAATCCAAATCCCTTCTATGAAGTGAAATTTTATTATTTTTATTCCTTTAAAATGATCTAAAATATTCAGTTGTTGCTACTTCCATATTTTCAGTTGTAGATCACATGTTGGGAGAAGAATAGAGGAAAAAGAATTAGCTATTATGTTCATTAGTGTATCATGGAAAGCGACAGCCTTAAATACACACGAGCACTGGTTAACATTCTGCCAACTCCTTCTGCTGTAGCAGAAAGCATAAAAACTAAAACAAAGCACAAAATGGAAAAAGGACTTTTAAGTCAAGTGAAAATATTTTATGACATTGCAAGCTTCTTAAAAAGACATTCACTCAAACATGAAAAAAAAAGCAAATAATTACTCCCAAAATAAAATATAAAAACAAGTTCGCTCCAACACAACTGAATACAGGCATACTCTTAACAATTTGTAGCCTCTTTTAAGAAATCAGCTAACGTGATAATTAACTAAATGTTTTTAGAGAGATGGAATATTAAGGGTCACATGTATATTGATTCATATCGGAGAAAGAGGTTCCTAACTTTGTTTCAGATCAGTACAATTTTCACATTAACTCAAAACCCACAAGACCTTTAACACTGTGAATGGGAGGTATTCTCTCTATTTTGATATTCTGTATCAGATACTGCAACAGTATTCTGACTACTTTGATAGAGATACACCTTAAAAGTACATTATTTTCCTTTGAAACGCAACCTCCTCAAAAACACTACATGTCCAGAATAATGAAACTTAACCATTCATCCTGACCTGAATCAGGGTTAAAGGAGGTTGGAGAAGAAGGAAAAAAACAATGGTCCTCCTCCCATAAATCTCAATCCTACTTTGTGTTTTTTCCTTTAAATTTAACCATTTAAAAACATTAATAATTCTGCTATATTTCCCCTGGAGCATTCTCTATCAAGATTAAAGAAGGGCTTGTTCAGAAATAAACAGGATACAGGAGTAACGGTGCAGCTTCCAAGCCAGCTATAAATAGCGACCGCATTTTCAAGAAATCTTGTGCCAGTGTGCCAGCTGCAGTTTAAACACGCAGTGAAGATTTTATTACAATGGTATCACCAAAATTCATTGTTACATGAGAAAATCAATTCTTACCAAGTTTTCTTGGTTCCTGGCTGCTATTTTCTGCTCCTCTTCTGCCCCATTTTTCATGTATTTGACCTCTTCCACCGGTTTGATCCTATACTCATCTGAAAAGAAAAGACATTTTATAATTTTTTAACAATGGTAGAAAAGTGACAATGAGAGAAGCCCAATAGCATAATTTGTCAGAGCCTATTCCCTGCAATCTTTATTTGAAACAATCTGGAAGAAGCTTAACCAGGCATCTTGGATCTCTTTATGAGGCACTCTCCTCTGTCTACAGGGAAAAGGTTGGCACCACGAAGGCAGCTAATGAAGGTGGCACTGCCTGGTCCTTTCACAGAGAGCAAACGGTGGCAGAGGAAACAGAAGTTATTCCATATCTAAAGACTGTGTGGAATCTACACACACCAGGGTGTATCACTTAATGGTCTAAGGGAGATTTTTCTCCATGAGAATATTAGTTCAAAATGCCTGTGGCAGCAATTTTCAGCAGTACGTTCACACCTTAATGTCTCTCTTTTGGAAAAAGAAAGTACTGGTTAAGACTAGAGAGTTTAATTGACCAACAAATAGACATAAAACATTGGGAATTGAAGTTTTCCTATTTGTGACCCTTATATTATATGTGGATCAGTTTGCATTATTTCATATGCTACACACATAAACAGACACACACTTTAATTTAATCTCTCTGTAAAGTCACATGCGTGAAGAGCCCTAATACTCAATGGATCTAATAGGTAGGTATATCACTCAAGGCTGGAGAGTACAGTGGACCATGGATGGGAGCTAGACTTCCCAACAGCAAGAGAGAGAGTACAATAAATCCCAATATACACCACAGGACAAACTCAGGAAAACTTGCAGCTAAAAACACTTCTCCAGGGTAGAGGTTTGGTGACGACAATGATGACATTTTCATCAGATTCCTGTCAAAAGGAAATGACTTGGGCACACTAAGGTCAAAAACAGGTGTGACTGAGTCATCTTTGATCCAATTTGTGGGAAAAATTACATAAATTATGGAATTAGAAAATTTCACCAACTAATAAACTGACGATTGCCTAGCATATGACATGGAATAATGTCTATAATAGGCTGAAAGACAGATGTCAACCACTAAGAGAGTTTGTATTTCAGTTCAGGAAGCTGCAATACATTTTCTTATTGCCTATGATTAATTTGGTATGACTATATTCTTATATAATTTCTTGCTTTATTATTTATAATACCATTTTCTATATAGTTCCAGGCTTCTTCATACTATCCCTTAACACATTACCTCCAAAGATGTTTGTTACAGTAACATTTCTCCAAGGAATTATGATGTCCAAATGTTTCTCAAAATTATTATCCTTATGAAAGTAATACATTTGCCTATATCTGAATAAAGACTCCATGTTCACGGCTAAGCAAATTGTGTTTCCACCTGACAATTCAAGGTAGTTATTGATTCTGATTCTTTTAAAGAAATTAGAAAGACTGGTATGAGGTCACAGTAATGAGCCCTTTAGGAATACCAAGTTCTAAATGTATTAACAAGCTAATCAATGGATTCTGATCCACAGTGACAACACACAAGAACTTCATATTCCAATTTGGTATTCAGAAGAGACAAAAATGAAAGTAAACTAATAAAATGGGCACTTTTAATTAAGCATTATTTACTCAGAAGTTGGAAAAGCACTGGTTAATTAAAACAAAAAGACTGACAAATTATGCCTCCAATACAATTACACAGAGATAAAAATAAAGGAAAAAATAATAAAGATGGGTCTCCCTAACTAGTTAGGAACATTAATATTTATAAACCATGGTTCACTGGAATAATTAGTAACATTTAACTGAACTGAATTGTGATCTTAATTACTTACGGTGAGTCTCTATTTAAATATAAATTATACATATACACACATATACATATATTATATATATATTTTAAACACAATTCCAGTGGATTCTATGATTTTTGTCTACAGGACCCAAAGCCTCACACGACAGGATGGGGAAAGCACATTTTAGGACCTAAGCAGAACCTTCGGAAAGAACCTTCAGAAAGACGGCCCTTTGCCTGCTGCACAGCAAAAGGTCTCTTCCAGAGGAGCTGCCCCTGTCTTGCCCGCTGTCCTCTCCCATCTGCCAAGCCACAGCCCACTGTAGTCGCTCTCTGAGTAGCGATATTCAGTCTTCATTCTCTTTTTATCCCTCCAGGGAACACAACTGAATTGAAAGTAGTATACAAACTATTAATATTTTTCTTCAATGAAATGGAAAAGCTACTGGCTACATGACTTTCAAAGCAGCATTACCCCAAATATAGACTTTTTAAAAACATCAAGACAGAATCATCACCAACTTAGAAAGAGGATAGGTTTTAGTGTGTCATTAACAACAATGGCTGGCTAGCCAAGCTGTTAGAGGAACACACTATGATGGGATACAAAGAAAGAACAAACAAACAGCCACAGCTACAAAGCCAGACCTATCCTTATTACTCACACAACACACGGCGCAAAATCCATCATGGTACAAAACAAAAAAGCCAGCAAGACCCTTCGATAAACCACAATTGGTACAAAGCAAATACTACAAAATGGTCTGTCAAATTTCTCAAAGGCTGGTGCTGGGAAGGAAGATGTCCATCTGGAAACAGACAACTCATCAACAAATGTGTCACTCATTTCCATGGCGAAGCAGCCGTCAAGAACGGCACTCGCCAACGGGCCTCGGTGTGGACGAATGGAGCATTTCAGGCTATGACAGGGAAACAACCACCACAGAAATCCAGTTTTCCCTTCTTTTAAGGAACAGGGGAATCAATGTGGGACTTCAGGCTCCTTAATCAGATCCCACACTGGAGGCAATTAGCACAGCCACTGTAACAAGCCAGAGTCCTGACAGCAGAACAATGTGCCAACTTGATAAAGAGAAAGGAGTAGCAGGATCATCTTCCTCCAGCTCCCTCACACCTGTTCACAATTTTTCTTTTCTTCCTGTTGATCTTGTCAGGTGGCTTATTAAAATGCATGTCAGGAACAGTAGGCTGACGCCCCGTTCCGAACCTGCTCCCATTCTCTCCATGTAAACAGTTGCAGGCTGTGCTAGTCAAAATAGATTCGGGGTAAAAGCAATGCCTTGGTGATATTTTTAGTATTTTATTGCTCAGATTACATCAGAGAAGGGTCGGACTGTTTTTGTGGCAGCTCCATTACGCTGAAGACACACTGTTTCTTACCAAATCTCTGTACCTCACTTTTGACGTAAAGTATATCATATATAGCCAGCCCTGGTGGTCTAGTGCTTAAGATTCAGCGCTCTTACTGCTGCGGCCCCGCTTCCTTTCTCAGTCAGGGAACCACACCACCTTGTCCGTTGGTGGTCATACTGTGGCAGCTGCGTGTTGCTGAAAGCTATGCCACCATATTTCAAATACCAGCAGGGTCACCCATGGTGGATATGTTTCAGTGGAGCTTCCAGACTAAGACAGACTAGGAGGAAGGACCTGGTCACCCACTTCCAAAAAATTGGCCATGAAAACCCTATGAATAGTAGTGGAGCATCGTCTGATGTAACGCAGGAAGGTGAGAGGATGGCGCAAAAAGACCAGGAAGGATTCTGCTCTGCTGGACACAGGGTCACTAGGATTTGGAATCGACTGGATGGCACTAACAACAGCTACCTTATATATGTATATAATATTAAAATTTTTAGAGCTAGAAGGGGATCAATTGGCTGGACTTGTTTTAGGCAGTACAGAACCATCCCCATTTTCTGGATCCTGTCAATACATCCATTATCAACAAATCACTCACCCTATCCCAGTTCTCCCAAGCTTTGCAGATAGAAGATCTGCTACAAGATTACATTTATAATCAATGAAACTGACTTTAAAAAGAGTCCATTAGACGGAGATGAGTGCCGGAGTGAGTTTGTAATGCCAGAATTACAAAAAAAGTTAACAATTTTCATAAATGTACATATTAGATGGGGAAGGAGGAAGAAAGGCAAAAGAGCCCTATAAATGCTATTCTTTGAGGTAAGAAGGATCTTACAGTTTTCTAAAATGGTGAAATTTGCATCTACTTTCACACCTTCTCACCCAGTCTTCTTTTGACCAATGACATATACATGATAATAAATCTCATCTTTTCCAGAACTGTTCCATTTTCAAAAATTCTGTGTTAATGTCCTCATATCAAAACACTACAACATCTAGGCATCTTAATTGAATGCTCTAGATTGCCTCTTCACCCAGAATTTGCATGAAGATTCTCTGGTAGACTATTATTATATGCTCAGGAAAATACGAGGGCTTGGGAAAGGAGGTGCAAGAAGTATTTACAAAAACAAACCAACCCATTAAAAGAAACAAACCATTCTACCTTACAGCATAAACTCATTCCCCTTGGATTTCTCCCATTGAACATCCTGTCTCCCAAGCTAACTAAATTCGAATCCCAAAATCCTGGTATGACTTCAAATTCTTGCCTTAGTATCTTTGTTTCCTTCCTTGGTGGGATTCTTTCAAGAGACAAGTATTCACAATGGCTAAGAGCTTAGCCTCTAGAGCTAGAATGCCTAGCCACATGGCCTTGGGCAAGTTACTTATCCTTTCTGTGTCTCGGTTTCTTCATCTGTAAAATGGGAATATTTATAGTATCTGATCTCCCACACAGAGTCACATGAATATATGAAAACACGTGAAACATGGGGCCGGCCTGGTGGCACAAGTGGTTAAGTGCTCGTGCTCCACTGCGGCAGCCCGGGGTTTGCCAGTTCGGATCCCGGGCGCACACCAACACACTGCTTGTAGAGCCATGCTGTGGCAGCGTCCCATATAAAGTAGAGGAAGATGGGCACGGATGTTAGCTCAGGGCCAATCTTCCTCAGCAAAAAGAGGAAGATGGGCATCAGATGTTAGCTCAGTGCTGATCTCCCTCACAAAAAAAAAAAAAAGAAAACACCTGAAACAGTGCCTAGTCCATAGTAAACGCTCAATAAATGTTAGCTGCTGCTTTAGAAAACTGCTGCTTCTGCAGTGAACGCTATTCCCAATGTACAAAATCTATCGAGGCATAAAAACAAAAAGCTTGATGTAAATGTC